AAAAATTAAACCTTTTTTCAAATTGGTGGAAAMAAATTACTCCCCCACCCATGTATACGCCCGCTGACCGTTATACCTATGTGCGTCAATGGCTTAGTGAAATATAATGGTATTAACAGCCATATGTAAGTACGGTACATAAAACGGCCAAAGCTTAGAAATACAGGAAGTTTTGCAAATTATATTATACCTGCACCGTCGTTTAGTGTAGTATAACGCACGCATTTCCGCGTAAATTTGTATTTACTTTCCAATGGCATATTATCTTATTAATCTTATTAAAAGCTGCACTACAGTATTTTAGTATTGTTATAATATTTTATTTTGCAAAAGGAAGATATTCCTTAGTAATTTTTCGAATTTGTCGAATTATTTATAGATTTTTCCTTTTTCCGATACCTTATAGAGTCCTGCAACAATTCGATCCCAGCAGCTGTGTTTTCGATCAAAACTAAACTATATACATAATATGTTAATCTCCACTATACTCTTATCTTATATTTTTAATGTCAATTGTACTAACTATATCCTATAGTATTCGGAGGTAACTTCTGAAAACATGTGTAACGTATTATSGAAATTAAAGATAAAAACAGCATCTGTGTTTGTACGTTGGTTTTTTATGATATTTTTATTTTTAAGCGAGTTTTAAGCAATATAAAATTTCAATATTTTTCACTTATAATTCGTTTATGCTTGTTTGAAAATTGAAACACCGCAAAAACCGCCTTAAATTATGTTCTAACCATATGTTATAACCATTAAATGTTATGATGGTTTATTCTCTGTAATATGTTAAAAMTAATAACTGACAACACGAAATTGGTTCAGATAAACCCAAATTCGCTAAATGTCTAGTCGCTCTATTCGGAAACAGAACAGTCGATGTTTCAATATATTATATAATATTATACATCGGTCACATTCATGATTTAACTATTAAATTATACTATAGTTAATAATAATTAGTATGTGGTGGCTTTTGCCCAAAGGAACATTTTTAAGGGGTCTCTAAAATAAGTAAAAAAAAAGAAATCGTTGGTGTACTATTATATGTATATTTGGTATAATCAGGAGTACCTATGTATATGGCTATATCATCTGGTTTTTCCTCCAAAATAAAATCATACAAAAAAGATTATAGTATAAATGTTTATGAATTATATTACTAGGCTAGAGGTTATATCTAGGTATAACTAATCAACCATTTGAATTTCATGTAATTTTATTAATCTATTATTATTATTTTAGTAGTAAGACTTGTTAGACGACTGACGAAAAAAACATTGAATAAACTAAATTACATTTGG